GTGTACACGTTCTAGGGAAAATGGCGACAGATGGGCACCGAAATTTGTGGACACATTCGCGAACGGGCAGATCTGATGAGGTGGTTAAACAGGTCTCGGTATTGGAGATGTCTCCAGGAAATGTCTTACCAGTCGACGTTTTTAGCGCGCCGGCACGGCGAGAGATGGCGGGATTATTCTCATTTCTGTGGAGTTGATGCGAGTCTCCAATAAAGGAATCACTCAACAGATCAAAGGGTAACAATAATATTTATTGTTGAAACAACGGCCAAGAGCGGTGATTAATCATGTAAATTATAAGTCAGTTCAAGATATCACATGATAAGCTGCAGCTACTCGAGACAATTACGTGGAATTTCTGTTTTTTTACGTGGATACGTCTCTGGTTTCACTTTGGGTTTCACTATGGGGGTCATTTTGCGAAACGGTCCTTATGTGCAGCGCCATCTGTCGGAATTCCAGAAAATTCTAGACATTTCGTGGTAATTCCAGAAGTTTCTTGAAATTTCGGAAAAATTCAGGGAGTTGCCAGGAAATTCGAGGGAATGGAATGAGTTTCATCATCAATTTTGGACGAATTTTTTGCGCACACTCGGAGGCGCCAGAAATGTCGAAATAAAAAATTTTCATTTTCACCCGAGGCCAGGGTTCAATAAAACAATACCATTTCATTAATAATTCAATTAATTAAATATCCATTAACCTAAACTAACATTTAAAGAAAATAAAAAAATGTCAGTTTGCCCGATTTATTATTAGAATTGACATTCACTGAATGCAAAAAACACTGACTGGTAGTGGAAGGGGGCCCCCCCACCCAACGGACGAAATTGTTTCGGCTCAGGGGAGATCGGTCGGTAAAACAGTGCAGTAATGAGTCATGCAATAAAACCCGTGAGACTCTGAAAATTATAAAAAAATTGGATCGGATCCCCCGGTGCAGCGACAACAACTCAATTATTCGAGTGATTTTTCTCCGAGGGCTTGCAGCATAAGGAGGGGATCAGCAGGAGGTACTTTGCTCGGCGCAGGTCCGAAAGAGGTTGAAGTTGCTCGGCCATCGGTGTTGCGACGCACCCGGTTGTCAAACTTGCTCCCGAAAAGAATAGAATCGAACCGCAAAAGAGGAAAAAAACGGTGAAACTCGAGGGTATTGGAGTAACAGTGAAAGTGTGAAGAGTACTTCGGGTGGGGCGATTGGTTTGGGAAATTCAATCAATTTGTTTTGAGACAATGTATTGATTTGTTGGGTGACTGTCGTCGGTTGGAGGAAAAAAGGAACAGCAGATTGTTGGGATTGAGTTCGATTTCGTGGAGTTGTTGGAGGTATTCGACATGGAGGACGATCTTCCCACTGAGTATGATGTCGTCGTCGTGGGAACAGGTATTGATTTTCATTGTTTTAAAGGGATTTTTCAGGGTAATGACACATTTTCGTTGCAATTGTTAATTACGGTTTTTTTCATTTAGGGATGACTGAGTCCATCGTGGCTGCTGCTGCTAGTAGGATCGGCAAGAAAGTACTCCATCTCGACAGGTAAGCATTTTAGGATGATTTTTTATGAGAATTTAGTCATTATAAAAATGTAAAAATTAATTTAAGCGATTTTTAGGATCTATTGTTGATTCATATGTTCCTTTCATTTCATTTTTATTTAGAGTACCAACAGCTGAACCCAGTTGTCATATTTTTAAAATTAATCTATCCATTATTATCACCTTTCTTCTTCAACTTTGAAGATTAACAATTTAGTAATTGGAATAATTAATTTAGGAGGAAGTGGTGATAGGATGGGGGAATTCAATTTGAGAATGAGTTGTTTAATATTTGTATTTCATTTAATTTAATTCAGAATCTAATTTAGCTTCACGAAATGTTTGAGAATTAATAATGTAATATTTATATTATTTACTTATCCATAATTCACAGTAACGAATATTATGGAGGTTTATGGGCGACCTTCAACTTCGACGGTCTTCAGAAATGGATTGAAGACCTCAAAGCCTCGAAATCAGGAGGGGATGCCAGTGTGGAAGTAGAGGCTGGTGAAAAGTTTTTAAAAGCCAGTAATCAATATTCAACGGTGGAGAATATCGATGAAACGTGGTTCATACCCAAGTAAGTGATGCTGATGTAATCTGATATTCTTCTTTACTGCTCATTCATCTCGAAAACAAGTTATTTTATGGAAAAAAAAATTTGTAAATTCCCTCATTAAAACTTTTTGAAATTCTCTCATTTAATTACTCATAATTCCAGTAAAAACAGTCTCTGACACTATCCCTTGAATAATTGCAAACCACAATGAGTCTTATTGACCTATTCATTTAGCGTCTTGAGTGAAAATATCAAAAGATTTTTTGCAGCTGAAAGAAATCTTTAACCATCTGCGCCTTATCAAATTCAAAATACCAAAACTTCATCAAAAAACCCTCATTCTTCTCAACCATAAATTCAAACCCCAAAAAAATCTTTTTGCCCCAAATTTTCACGAGAAAAAATCCCAATAAAATGTCATTAAAAAAATAACTCCAAAATCATAAATCGAACCCCTGAATTACTCCAGCGATGCAGAGCTGCCAAGTCTCTCGACCAAAGAGTCCCAAACGGAGAGTGAAGCCGATGAGAAAGAGAAGAGCGACGATGAAAAATCGGAGCACAAAGAGACGACGAAGCACTGGACAATCGACCGAATAAAGAAGGAATACCGAAGATTCAACATCGATCTAGCCCCAAAGCTCCTCTTCGCCCGAGGCGAGCTGGTCGAGCTCCTAATCTCCAGCAACATAGCCCGTTACGCCGAATTTCGTGCTGTCTCAAGAGTGGCAACCTTCATGGATGGAAAACTCACACAAGTACCTTGCTCCCGAGCGGACGTATTCGCCAACAAAACAGTGAGCGTTGTGGAGAAGAGAATGCTGATGCAACTGCTGATATCCTGCATGGAGCAGGGAGCAGAGAGTCCTGAATTCGATGGCTACCGTGACAAGACATTCCTGGAGTACCTCAACACCAAGAGCCTGACACCAATGGTGAAGCACTACGTGATGCAGGCGATAGCGATGGCCACTGACAAGACATCCTGTCGTGATGGAGTCATTCGCACAAAGCACTTCCTCAACAGTCTCGGCAGATACGGTAATACCCCATTCCTGTGGCCCATGTATGGAAGTGGTGAATTGCCCCAGTGTTTCTGTCGACTGTGCGCAGTATTCGGTGGTGTCTACTGTCTCAAACGTCAATTGGACGGAATAGTCGTCAGTGAGGACAAGTGCAAGGCGATTATCAGTGGAAAACAGCGACTTGCATTGGAGCATTTGGTGGTGGGACAGGGGCACTTGCCACCGGAAATCGTCGAGTCCCCTGGCGAGCACAAAATCTCTCGTGGAATATTCGTCACAGACAGGTCTATCATGCAGGGAGAGAAGGAGAATCTCACTCTTCTGTACTATCCACCTGAGGAGAGTGGCCAGGAGCCAGTGACTCTCATCGAACTGGGACCATCCACCAATGCCTGCCCTCAGGGCCTATTCATGGTACACATGACATGCAAGAGAACCTCGTCTGCTAGGGAGGACTTGGCGTACGTAGTCAAGAAATTCCTCGCTGCCAATGCACTGGAGCCCAATGTCGTTCCTTATCCCACTGATGTTCACACTCAGACTGCTCCTGAGAAGAGCCATCTGCAGGAGGGGGACGACGAGGGCAAGGACAAACAGCTGGATCACCTCAAGCCTCATGTCCTCTGGTCTATGTATCTTAATCTACCTGCTAGTGACATTAAACTCAGTGACTCTGCACCCAAGAATGTGCATTTGTGCTCTGGACCTGATCTAGATCTTGATTTTGATTTTGCTGTTAATCAGGTGAGCTTTTTTCATTGTTTCATCAGTTTATTGCAATTTGAGGGAAGTTATTTGATCATTATTTCCATAATTATTTTTGATTCGTTCTTTTAGGGAAGGGAAGTTTTAATTTGATGAGTTTGGTTCAATTGAAGTGAAGTTATTTCACGAAATTGGAATGTTGAAATTTTCTTCTGAAGTAGATTTTCAGTTAATCGACATCTTGATAATTTTTTTCAATTGTTTTTTAGGCGAAGGAAATTTTCAAGACTATGTACCCAGACGAAGACTTTCTCCCTCGTGCCCCTGATCCTGAGGAAATCGTCCTCGAGGGAGACGAAACCCCTGGCCCCAAGTTTGAGGACGTACCGGAGGCTGAGAAGGACGCCGATAAGGAGGAATAAATAGTTTCTTCGGTCTTTTAATAAGAATAAGAGAAAACAGATGGATGAAAAAAGCAGGTTGCTTTTTTGCGATTTCCAATTTGCTACACCAAACCAACACACAGGAAACATGAATGAGGAATGGCCTGCATTCTTAATGTCTTTACCGTTATCATCGTTTCACCTCGTGCATTTTTTAGTTGAGGATCCCATCGTTTTAGTTTTTCTTTCGGGCGTCGAGGGGGTTTTAAAGAGATGAAATGTGAGTAGTTATTGAATTGTTTTGGTTTGTGGAGTAATTAGCTTGCACAAAAAGCCCTTTAGCAGTTTAAAAATGTCAGGGATTGACGTTTATTTGAAGAGAGTTGTCAGACAAGATTGAGTAAAGGGTGTATGAAACATATTAAAATGTTCAAATTTTTTTTACTCAATTTTGATATTTTTTTGGAAATGATGACATTAAAAACGGAGAATAATTCTGCGATGTGAAGTCTTAAAACGTAACAGGAGTCGATTGTTCATGCCTTGTTGAATACAATCCTTTTGATAACGGAAGAATAACGATTTTTATTTTTATTCAACGATAAAATGGGGAACGAAAGATTTTCTTTAACATTGTTTTTTATAAAAAATATAATTGACTTGTGCTGTTTCGTTTTACCACTTCATTTTCGAAGGTCAGAGATTGATGTTTATTTGAAGAGAGTAAGCACACAAAATTGAGTAGAGAATGTATAGAACATTTCAAAATACTTCAAACGGAGGATTTACTGCTAATTTACATTTTTGTACTCAATTTTGATATTTTTTGGAAATGGTCACATCAAAGGTGGAGAATAATTCTTATTCGCGTTTCGTTGAATAACGATTTTGATTTTCATTCAACGAAAAACTGGAACGAAAAATTTACTTTGAGATTATTTTTCTTATAAAAAATATAATTGACCTGTTCTGTTTCGTTTTACCCCTTCATTCGTGAATTGCTGATGGAATTAATGTGAGAAAAACAGCCTAACCATTACATTCGCATCATTAGTTCTCCGGAATGATCAGTAACTGTTCAAATCCCGATCATTCCAATCTTCGAAAAATTGATAAACAATTTTGTACGAAAAATTGATTTAATTTTCTTGAACTATCAAGTGGGGCTGTGATGAGAGAAAATTCCCCTCAAAGATAAATCGACAATTGCTGATCAATCTAATCATATTCAATTGGAAATTGTCACACCGTACTAATTACCCTATCTCCCCGATTGTAATTGAAGACATAAAGATACAATTATCGTTAATTATCGATTATCACTAAATAGGAGAGCTTCTGTGTTGTATCATGCATAGAACAGACTTATTCGACAATATACATTCAACTGCATGGGCAATTTCTTTTATTTCAGTTCGAAAAGGAAACATACTGCCGAATTATCAATCAATTTCGTTAATTGAGGAGGAGGGAAACGCTTTGTTTATGTTTTGTGCTTCAATAAAATAAAGACTTGTCTCTATTCACCAGGAATAATTGTCAATTTCGTATGAATCATCGGGAAAAATCTACAAACATAATTTGTATATTCTTATCAGTGTGGGATGACTCGTCATCCATATCACTCTTGAGATAACTTATCAATCGATATTCATTCAGCGTTCTCCAATCGATTGAACAGATCGTGTCCTACGCATCAGGTTGAAGACTTCCCCTCCAGGAGATGAAACAAATAAAGAGATTTTTTGGGCCAAAGCCCTTCGATCAATTTAAATACTCTTCTCGTATCCTATTTATCTTCTGAGAAATGAAAAACTCGGAATATGATTATAAAAATGTATTTACACTTTGTCAAATTACAAGAATGAATTGTCGCACTCTTCATCGCCACCCTATCAGTACAATAGTTAATCAATGCTAGAGGTATTTTTACAAAAAATTCATCTTCATTTTTAGTTGATTTTTAGTTGAATTCGGAGTAACGTCAATTATTGAATGTCTTCAATTGGCTATAACTAGAAATTGGCAGAGTGAAATTCAGTGACTTTAGTCTCATTTTGAAGGTATTTCTTCGAGCTTTAAAACGAGACGTGATTCATCCCAATTGCTTCATTTTTGGTGGAGATATTGACGATTGAAGGAGATCCATTTTAGCTTATCGTCTCCAATTTCAATGAATTTCTTTTATTTTGAGCAGAGTCCTTCGATTAACTCAACCAAACCCCCTCTGCTAATCGTCTCCCGCCTACGAAAAACCAAAGGTACTCCAAATCCAATAATCGTAGCATATTTACACTCCATTAAATTACAATGATCCCCAAACGCCACCCCGAAATAATCAATCCCCCTGCTCCTGATCGCAATAATTGATCTCAACTCCAGACGTAACTTTACAAATATTCATCTTAATCTTCGTTGCAACCTGAGGCGGATATGAAACTTTACTTTTCATTTCAGATATTTTTTCAGAACTCAAAATGACACCTGATTCATGATTTAAGAAGATCCATTTCACAATTTTTCAAAATTTTAAGCTGAGTCATTCAATTAACTCCCCCAAATCCCCTCAAGGTGAGGTTATCAAAAATGTTAATGGCAGGTTGAAAGGATGAAATTTAATAATTTTTTCTTCAATGCAAAGAGCAATTCTTGCCCTTTGTGATGAGCCTAAACTGAGCTCCATTGATAAATTTCTTTCTGAATTGTGAGTAATTAAAAAAAAGTCTAGTGTCCATTCTACCCTCCCCTATTGAAAATCCAAGAAGATCCATTCCCCCTCACTATTCCCTATTTCAATCGTCGGAAGATTTCCATCAATTTTTTCATTTCGACCCCAACAACCATAACAAATGTACACTCCCCACCTCCAATAATCCCCCCCCCCCCCC